AGTTAACTGCACCTCTACCAACACTTCCAGGATGATTGTCCCAGGAGTAGAAAAATGCTCAAGTCGTATTTATTTTCTCTCAAGGAGCTCTGCACTGTTCAGCTTCTATTTTCAAACTACCTGATGAAGCAGCTGCCACCAGACAGGGGTGTTACTGCTGTGCCTGCACTGCTCAGGCCAACAACAGCTGGAGGGTGCAGAGGGATGTCTGGGGGTTCTGATGCTCCAAGTTCCTCACGTTCATTTGTCATGTCTTCAGAGCTTCACAGATGTGATGGACATCCCCAATACCTACCAGAATCTGATTTCAGGCAAACAAGCCACTAAGCTGATAGAAAGCTGCAGTTTTATCTAAAGAACTATCAAACACCAAGAATCTTGCTCAGTTTCTAGATCCTGTCTCACATCCTGACAGCTTTCCAGAGTCTACCTCCAGGGTTGTGCTTACATTCACCAGAACTCCTCTCAGCAGTGGTGCACACCACAATCCCTGCATCATTCCTGAGGATTCCAGTGCCACAGATGCAACAGACAAAGCTGAATAGAACCACAAACCCAATATACAGATTGTAAGTTTATAGACAAAACTGTCAGACAAAAAAAAAAAAGGTTGTTAGAAATGTCAGAGGAGAGTACTTTTGGCAAAAGCAAAGGTGACAGCTGAGGAACAGATCCCTCCTGCCTCTGATCTGTGTGGAATGCACAGGGTACAGGGCAGGGGTGGGAGAAAGAAAAAACCCAAGAGTTGAGTATAAATTCTCTGTGGTGCTCCAGATGGTATTTGGTCACCAAATGCAAATGAGAGCTCTGCAACTTGCAAATCTACAAGTTTCCTGTCAGAAAACCTGCCAACAGTAAGACACAGCCTCCTCTCCTTCCATTGCTTCTCTTGGATTTGCAGAGAAATGGTTTTATGGGAAAAGGTACTGTAGCTTAACACTTGTCAAAGCTCTTCAGGCAACAGTATCATTAAACAGCATTTATCTCGGAGAAAACAAAACTTCCACAAACTGGAACACTCCCAACTTTTTCGAACTTATAAATCACTCCATTTTTTCTCCCCCTTGGTGACCTCATATCAATTAGCTTTTCCACTTGGGGCAGAATAAAGATCTCAAATCACTCTTCAAATTTTAAATCTCATCATAACAAAACCCAGGACAAAACAGTTTAGGCTGGCAGGAAAAAGAAATGCAGGAATATGTGGAGGAGACACCTATGAAGTTCACAGCTGCCAAATCTAAGTACTTAACTGGTCTGTAACTACTCTGCAAATAATTGTTTTTACTTAATCTCCCGTGACAGCACTTAATTATCCACACAGTTTTGGAAAGCTACTACATAAACAACTGCTCCTAGAACCTCCTGTTTATAACCACCAAGTTGTTTTCCCCATGACTATTTGAAATTCTTTTATTAAAGGCAGATTGTTGTTTCCCAAATCTTGAATGTCATAAAGATAAAACAACCCTTGAAGTTCAAGTGCAAAACTTTTTCAAGTGCTCCTGAAAAAAAAGTTTGGACTTTTCATCTGTTTACTGAAAGGAATAAATACCATGAAATATTATTTGATTGACTCTGTTATTCAGAAAAATCAATAATTATAGTTTAGACGTGAATGAATAAAACACAGTATTTCAAATTAAAATATTTACATTTAAGTTACCACTAGATTTTTATTACCCTAATGAACATTTCCCTTTCAAAGCACAAGTCCCAGGCACAAACAGAGAAATCTAAAACCTCATTCTTGATAAGAATTCAGGATGTTATTAACAGCTGTTATTCCCTAAAGCTGAGACATCTCAAAAGCTGTTTTGGATAGACTCTGGTCTTCCACTTGGATTTGCAGCACCAGATTTCTGGGACCTGTGCTCCTAAATGTGTGAGTACCAAGACAAAGCCAAAGCTCTGGTCACTGCCCACAGTGACAACCAAACCCGCAGGAACAAGAATTTAAGCCCATGCAGCTCATTTCCTGACCAGGTTATACCAAAACAAGGATCATGTTACCATGGCCCAGCTGACAGGCAAGGAAATGACTCTGCCTCAGTAACTCCTTGTGTTCTGTTTGTAGCCCCACATGGAAAAGTCCTTTATATTTTCAGGAAACTAATTTTAACTATCAAATATCTCAGCACTGTGGTCTGTTTATACAATAAAAAGCAAAATAAGTTTGTTTCTTCTGCCTTGCTGCTGCATGGACCAGTGAACACACACAGTGTCCTTTGTTACTTCAAGGAATCAATGTACATAAATGCCTCATTCTGGCAGAATTTGATGCTCAATATTTTGTCAATACTGATGTTTGAACTCTGAAGTTCTACTGGAGAGAGCACAACAGCCTTATCAGCAGTGAAATGTGTAACACACAATTTACATCACTTTGAACTATTATCTGATAAGTCACGGCAAGTGTTTCAATATGCTTTTAATATAGAGCAAATAAATCTATCCTTGTATGATTCACACACATTGCACAAGAATTCCAAACCCTGCGGTAGAAAGGAGCTCAGCTCCCAAATTCCTGTAGAGTCCTGGCAGTTAGTTGGAGCACATTTCTTTCTTCTTCTCATTACCATGAACTTCAGTTCCCTAAATGAGTTACACCTATTCCTTTCTCCATCTCCAAACCCACATGTGTCTCCTCACATTCTTCTGTGTAACCTTTGTCTTTCAGACATGTTTCACTGGACAGAGCACTGCAAATAAGGATCCCTCAGAGCCAGAGCTGTGGCACCAGAGCAGACATCTCCCAGTGCCACTGGCTGCAGTGCTGTCAAACACTGTGCTCTGACTGCTTTTTGTCAGTGTGATGCTGCTGTGCTCTGGCAGACAAGGTTCAGATTTAATTCCACCCAAAAGTTACTGCACTGAAGGTTCCAGCTTGGATGCTGCAGTACACTGATCCCTGTGTCCAGCTCTGGGCCCTTCACTGCAGGAAAGACACTGAGGGGCTAAAGCATGTCCAGAAATGGGCAATGGAGCTGGGGAAGGAGCTGGAGCATCAGGAGGGGCTGAGGGAGCTCAGCCTGGAGAAAAGGAGGCTCAGGGGGGACCTCCTTGTTCTCTACAAGTCCCTGACAGGAGATGCAGCCAGGTGGGGTCAGGCTCTGCCCCCTGGGAACAAAGGGCAGGACAATGGAAAAAGGCCTCAAGCTGTGCCAGGGGAGGTTCAGGCTGGCTAACAGAAAGAATTCCTTCATGGAAAGGGCTGTCAGACATTGCAAGTAGATGCCCAGGGAGGTGGTGGAGTCACCATCCCTGGATATGTTCAGGGAAGGAATGGACACGGCACTTCATGCTCTGGTCTAATTGACAAGGCGGAGATCAGTCACAGGTTTGATTTGCTGATCTCAGAGGTCTTTTCCAGCCTAAATGATCCTGCAAATTCTTGGACCAGGCAAAAAATGTGTCAGTGATGCTATTGTCCTTCTGCTACACTCTGCCCCATACTACACTGAAACAGGTTCAGCTATCCATACATTTAAATGCTTTTCCATACCATTATCACTGGCAGTAGCATTACCCTGTTGTAACCAAGATGTCAGGTATAAACAAGCTACATCAATTTACAGCAGGAACAGAAGCTGTCACTGCAACTCCCCTCAAATAAAAAGCCACTTAAGTCCCATATACTGCATTTGAAATATTAAATAAACTATATTTCACAGAGAAAAAAGCATATATTATTAAAGCTGTGCTGGGTGAGTAGGAATATTCCCCATGTCTTCATTCAAAACAGGTGCCTCATGAAACATTGATGTCAGTGCAATGGCTCAGTGCAGCTCTTCTGAGCCAGCTCTTTAATTATACATGATCACAGAGCTACCTGCATGGAACACACCCAAAGAGGCTCAGGGCTCCATATCTGTGATTTCACAGGCTCTATTGCCACATAAACAATCTGGCACTCAGCAGAGGATGAGGTCTGTAACAGTCTGGAGACTGGTGCTTAGAACAGAGCGACGAACACCAAAATGAACATACCATAACCCAGGACCAATCAGTGTGGGGTAAAGGTGGGGAGATAAGGGACAGCTAAAGCACACTTGATAGATACAATATTCCATGTACTTCAACTGCCATACAAGTTTTACCACCAAGTAACCAGAAGGTCTAAAGGCCACCAGGATAAAAACTTACTGCAAGAAAACAACCTGATCCTCATGATTGAGTTGGCTTTTTTCTTCTAATTACTATTATTATTATTCCAGACTTGGTGAACTTTAATTGTTTTCACCCAAGACACAAGGTTAAAAGAGAGGTAAAATTCATATAGCCCAATGAAACACCTTTTAAAAGTTAACATTTTCAGGCAGACTAGATCTTGTCATAGCAGCAATACACCACTAAAGAGAAATTAATGTATTGTGGGTATAGTCAAACTCAGAAAGGATCACAATAGAGTTTTGCTCTGTCATTTTAAGGCTCCATGTTCTGGGGACATTGAGGACAATCCCAGCTGCATAAAACTTTCAATCACAAACCTGTCACTGCCCCCTTTGACCTACCTGCCCCTTCCTGCCTGGTATTACAATCACTTGCTGCAACTTGTCTCCATGTACACTCAAATCCTGCAGCACAACCAAAGTGGCAAGTTCTGACCTTGCAGATTTACCTGTGGTGCTGTGGAATTTACCTGACTATATTATAGGTGTTTCACTCCATCAGCTATTACCTTATGCCAGACTTGGCTTTTATTACTATTCTTATCCTTTGAACTAGAATTCACTCTGGTTTTGCAGTGCATCTGAGGTTTCACAGAAATCTAAATAACAATGCTGACTATAGGCAATTTCAAGTTTCCTTTACACTTTATCTGTGGATCTCTTACAGAGAAGAAGCCAAATTTACAGCTTTTTTTCCTCTCTAGGTCTTAAAACACAAATTATGACAAAATCACACACGGCAGCAAGTTAAAACCTTAACAACAAGTTTCTTTTTCACTGGAAAAAAAATATAAGTGAATGGAGAAAGAGAGTAAAAGAGTAACTTACTGTGCAGCTCCCGATGTATCACATCCACCAGGTTGGGCTCATCTCCCCACCAGAATATCCAGAGCTCCTTACAATCCGGTTTGACGTCGCGGCGCCACACGCACAGCAGGTTGGCCTGAAGGCAGCGGATGAAGCTGAGCAGAATGGGATCATCCTGTGCTGGGGCTGAAATGATTGGGCCACAGTCCCCATGACCTTCAAAATTGTACCTACGCCATTTGATGCCAGTGAGTTCAGCCTACAGGGAAAAAGAAAAAAAAAAGGGAAGCAAAAAGCCATTAGATCATGTTATTTCCTAACACAGTTATATTTCAGTGCTGATTTGCTTCATTTTCATTGGTTAATTCCTTGGATTCAGCGTTAACTTAAAACTCCTTTTATTTCTCTATTTCCCTTTTTCCCCCTTCAAGGAAAAATAATTTAGAAACAGTATTGAATAGAATATTCTGAGGAGAGAAGAAGAGAGGAGGAATAAACCTGGCTTACCCCTGCAATTAGGTTTTTCATCTCGCTTTGATTCATTTCCAGCAGATTCATCAATTTCTAACCTTATTGTTACCTTACTGTAATCTTACAAATTAGAAGGAAAAACCAAACAAACAGAGAGGGAATAAGGCCCGTTCCCTACCTGCTGCTTGGTGGTCACACCAAAGTTTGGCCACTTGAAAGTCACAAAGTGCCACAGGGCATAAAAAAACAAAGGACTAACTGAAAAAGTTGGAAGTTTCACACTGTGATGTTACACATTCACCAAATCTGCCTTTTATTTTGCTCAAATGAACAAAAACAGAACAAGGAAAGTTGCCACCGAGTTGCCTCTCAACCAGACAGAATTCTCTTATTAACCATCAAGGACAAATAAAAAGGAGATTTGCTACCCAGACATTTGGGAAAGGTTTTCTTTGGGCACTGAACAGTTCCCCAGGGCAGAGGTCACAGCCCTAAAAGCCTGACAGAGCTCAGGGAGTGTTTGGCCAATGCTCTCAGGCACAGGGTGGATTGTTGGGGTGTCCTGGGCAGGACAGGGGTTGGACTGAGGATTCTGGTGGGTCCCTTCCAACTCAGGATATCCTATGATTCTGTGATTTTCTTCCACTCCCAGTTTGCCCCATGACTGTTGCTGCCTCCTCCTTTCACCCCAGCCCTGGGAGCCTGCCCAGGCCACGAGGGGAGCACAGATCACAGCACAGTCTGCACACAGCTATTATCACACACACGGTGCTCTGTACCCTGTGCTCACACTGGGCTTGTACGCCACTTTCTAACCCATGTTACCACATTCCCACTGCTGTTACTCCCTCCACCGCTTCATTTCCAGCATTCACACCTTCCCCTGGCTGCTCAGGAATAGCTGCAGTGCTCGGCTCTGAAGTGGTCCTGCAGGAAAAGCCAGCTGGGCTGCAGCAAGGAGCTGCAGGAACTCAAACACAGCATCTACACCTCTGACAAGGGAAGTCATTGCCAGGGAGAAGGGAAAGACACGGTGGTGGAAACACCAGCTGTAGGAAGGAATTTTTACTCCTGAAGAAAACCAAAGACTTGCAGATCCTGTATTCCTCCCACTTTCATCATCTGCACAAGGACATTTAGCCCCTCCTCCAGAACCTAAACTCCATGCCACACACAGAAGGATTTCCCTTCTCAAGTCTATAAAATTAGTTTATTTAGAAGTTTCAAAATTTGCTTTCCTTCACCACAAAAGCTGAGAGCAGGCTGTTACTTGCTCCAGAGCTGGCTGGTTAACTGCTGGGGAACTGAGAATGATGTTCAGCAACCGAAGCAATAAATACAAGTATTTCTTTGCTCTGGTAAATAAATGCTCTGAAGCAGTTTCACCTCGCTCAGTGTATATTGCCTGGCACAGCAGGGTTCTGGCCCAGGGCTAAGGCTCCTGCGACTGTGCCTCAAGGACTATTTCCCCAAACACTGATTATCCAGATTGCCTATTCAATTCTCCTCCGCAGAGGCCTCACCAGGCACATGGGAATGCAGTAACTGGCCTCTACTGGGAAGGGGGAAAATCTATGCAACACTGAACAGCAATGAAATGGGACTTCTCTCATGCATGCCCCTAAACCACCAGGCACCAGCTCCACTCTGAGGAAGCAACACTCCCATCCTGTACGTGCCAGCAGGACACCAATGGCACTGAAATCACAGCCAGTACAGGATTATATCTGCTGAAAGCTTCCTACAGCCACCACTGCTGCTCCTGCACTGAGAAATGCTGATCAGCCAAAGAGTTGGGACCTAAGGATAAGAAAATTGGAAAAGATAGTCAAGAGTGGCCGAGATGCACAGCCATGTGCCATGTCCCTGGCACAGAGAGGCCATGGGAGCCCAGAATAACAGGAAAAGGGAAGGCTAGAAATGATTTTCCCTCAGTATGGTGCTGTGTAGCTGGTACACCTCACACACTGCATAATAGTCTAAGAGAAAGCACTTACACATGTTCCTCTGAAACATCTACATCTGTTCTATGTGGGTCTCCAGCTATAGCTTGGAACAGGAACGTGCAGAGTTTGTGAAACATATAATGAATATAACTACCAGTCACAAAACACCAAAAATTAGTGCCAGCATAGCCAACCCAGGGAAAAAAAATGATGTTAAATGTTTCTGTCATAATCAACTAGGAACATATGGTAAGTTGCATGAACATGGAACAGGAAGATGACAAAAACCAAAACCAAACAACCCAACTGAACAAAAGATGTTACCCAACAGCAGCTTGATGCACACAGCAATAACCAGAGCTCAGCTGTTTCCAGCAGCAGACAAGCTCCTGCAGCTTGTTGGCAGCTCAGAGGTATCAACCCAACATTCCACCCGTTCTAGGGATGAAATAGAGTCAAGAAAAGCAAAGAAATCAGCAGAGCTGCATTCAGTTTAATTCTACACTAATCAACATCTGGAGTGGCTAATTCCATAGACTGTGAGGAATGAAGAACTACTAGAGCTACCCAGGACCAGCAGTGCCCTCCCACACACCAAGTGACTCCCAAGAAAAGGAAGATAAAAGTACTGGGGGTTTGGACTCAGTAACTGCATAAAGAGAGATCTCACACATCATTTCCCAAAGTTGCAGAGACACAGCTCAGCACATGTATTTGGCTAGGTCTGTGTCTGCTTAAATTTTTAATAGGTAAGCATCAATACTAATCCCTCAGAACTTCTAGATTGTGTCCTCATGTTAATTAAAACTGAATTCAAAAGGAGCTGTGAATCCAGAAGGAATACACCAGAGAAGACTGCACTCGGAACACTCACATATATTCTACGCCTCTACAGATGTTCTGTGTGAAGTATTTAACACACTGTAGGGACAGTATCTGCATCCACATGGGGGAGTTTACATTAATTTCCTTAAACAAACAAACATCCCTAATTCGAAGAGGCTCCACCACAGCAGGGTTTATGCAGACGAGAGAGCCCATGGCCTGTGGTTCTGGTGACTGTTCTGAAGAACTAAATGGGATTTCATTTATGTTTCGTGGGCAGTGAGCAGAGGCTGAACCAACACAGCAGCTCCTCAGCCCCAGTCTGACACTGGACCTAGTGGTCATGCAATCACTGGGAGTATCACTGGTGAGACACTGGCACAGGTTGCCCAGGGAGGCTGTGGCTGCCCCAACCCTGGCAGTGTTCAAAGCCACATTGGCTAAAGCCTTGAGCAACCTGTTCTGGTGGGAGGTGTCCCTGCCCAGGGCAGGAGGTTGGGGCTGGATGATCTCTAAGCTCCATTCCAACCCCTAAAACTCTGTGAGTCTATGAACTGAATCAGTTCACCCACTGAAAGATGAGAAACAAGAAGACAGACAAACCTTGATGGGCTCAGCACCCTGACAGCTCACCCTGCAACCACAGAACCACCTGAGCAGGCACAAGAGAGCAGCGAGTGCAGCACTGGAGTGGGATCTCCCCATCAGCCACAGCTCCAATCAGATAAAACACAACATAACACTGCACACACAGATTGTTGTTAATGTACACCTTAAACCAACACACGTAAGCACCAGTGTCAAAAGCAGAGCTGGCCTGGGCTGCCTTCCCTGCATCACTCACCTGCTCCTGACCTCACCAACACTTCAGAGCAGAGCTGCTGTGTGCAGACTCATCCTGAGCTGAGCTGACTCAAAAGCTGGAGTATTACACTAAACGACTTTTTCCTGTAGTCAGATCAGTCCCCACACCTGATTCATCAAACAGCCACCAAGATGCTTGTACCAGTAAGTCTGAGGACAGCCAAGCAGGTCAGGGAGCTGCTCTGGTTAGTAAGAGTGCTGGTTTTATAGCAGACTGAAATACTTGCTGAGATAGGAACCAAGATTGCCAACCTGAGGACAAAGCTGTGAACACACTGGTTTACTCACAACTGGTTAGAGATGAATGCAGAACAAAGCAGATCCCTTGCCAGGTGATGTAATCTGCTGTGTTTCTTGCATCTTTTCCCATATGCACAGTCTTGGCTTATTACAGTTACTACAGTGTTCTAAAAACTAAAAAGCCTGACAAAAAAAGAACTTACAAATACTTACTATTAACCAACACTGTTAGCAAATCATGCATTAAATGAGATTTTTGCTTTGGTTTGTAAAGGAACATGTGTTTTGGAGGACTGTGCTGTCAAGGGTTCAATTCCCAGATAAGAAGAGCTTTTTTTAAATTGGGTCTTTTCTAAATTCAGTTAACTGCAGTTGGACACAGAATAAAGTGTTTGCAAGGGACCAGTTCTAAATGCACTGGGCCAAGTGTAAGGAAACAGAAATCACATCTCTAACAGCAATATCCAAACCCTTTACTAACATCCAACTCCTTACAGTGTAATTCCCAACACAAAAAGATCTGCTTCTGATGTATCTAAAAGCAGCTATCAGGGTGGAAGAGGGTGTTCAAACCCCAAATTCCACATGGGCATCCAAACCCACCCGAAACACACCCAAGAAATAGGCACTGATGAAAACACAGCCCCTTGGAAAAGAGCACAGACTCAGGTTTCCTCCCCCCAGAGTGACCACTGACACACTCTGCTGAGAGAAACAGCCTCAGAAGAGATGAACTGAGAGTGTGCAAACTTCCTGTACACACATGCAAGCACAGAGACAGAGACAGCAAATTAATACTTCCTTTCACAGCCATCACTCTGCTGCCCTACAGACACCTCCACATCTACCTGCAGCAGCTCAGGGCTCCAGGACTGTCAATTCTAAGGAGAGCTCAAACCTAAACTCACATTCT